ATGTATATATTTATATATATATATATATTTATATACATATGTATATTATACAGTAAAGTTTGAGAATATTTTTAGTTTTGTTTTCAAATGTATACTTCGATTTCTTTTTCGGTCATAAGGCCTTTCTCTATGAGGAGTTTGGTAAATAACATGATTGGATCTTGCTCGGTTTGCACAGTTTTAATCTCTTTTCTAGTGCGATACGAAAAACCAGGATCACTCATACTATGTCCAAAATAACGATAAGTTACCATCTCCAACACAATCGGGCCGTTTCTGAGTGCATAATCTTTGCTAAAGCGTGCGGCTTCTCGTACATCTATGACTTTCATCCCATCAACCTACGCGATGGAATGTACATTTCGGGTATAGGTATATATTGTAGCGTGGATATTGAATGATGTAATGAACATGACATTACCTTATCCAGTAAGAGCATTTTTGGTTTTTTTTTATATAAATAATAGAACAAAACTATAGAGTAATGTTAGACAAAGCATGCGAATTAGTAATGTATGTGCATTTACTTTCATTCCTGGTATGAGGTCTCCGCGCGTATAAAGCCGAGTATTGGCGGAATGTCGATGCACGGCCGTACCCATACTATATTTATTATTTTCGCAAATATAGACTATCGGTAGATTCCAGAGCTTCGCCATGTTCCAAGCTTCAAAAAGTTGACCCTGCGAAGCTGCACCGTCACCATACAATGTATAGGATACGCCACCTGTACCATTGTATTTGTGGGCCAAAGCTATACCGGTGCCGATAGGTACCTAATTGTAATAAGATAATAAAGTAATTAATAGATACTTGATGAGATTTAAATTGAATAATAAAAGCCGAAAGTATAATAAAAGTGAAAGCATTTACCTGTCCGCCGACGATACCTTCGCCACCGTAAAACCGCGGAGCATACATATGCATCGAGCCACCCTTACCCTTGGACGTACCTGTCTTACGACCCATAAGTTCCGCAAAAACCGTATGACTTGGGACATCGAACACAACAATGAAACCATGGCATCTATATGCCGAAATAAGAGTATCTTGTTCAGCCAGAGCCATTTTTAGACCTACAGCTACAGCTTCCTAGGACATGTATTACAAATATTGTTTTCATTTTTCATTCACAATGTGTATGTTGCACAATTATTGGTTCACATCGCATCATCTAGATTTTTCTCATCTACCTGACCATTGTATAAATGTAAGAAACCATGAATGAACCGCTGTCTATACAGCTCTGCAGCTCTGCTTTCCATCCGACGTATATAATTCATTGTCTTCAGTGCATATGTAGCATCTTTTTTATTTAATGTAGATTTCTCAGGTCCTTTATCAAGCCGATACAAATCATATTTCTGAAAAAAGATTTCAATTAGAAAGGCAGAGAAGAGAGAAAAAAGAAAAAGAAAAGTCTGATAAAAATATTGCAGATACCGATTCTATGACAACTTCTTTGGTAACGTTGCGATGTAATAATAAATTGTATCGCATCTTAATGCCACGTCCAAGTGATAATCCTAACTTTGCCCATATTGAATACATACTTATCGGATAATATCCAACTCTCGATGTTTATAAGATAATTTTAATTTATGTTTTCCACTCTTAAAAGTTGCTTCGACGTCAAGTCTCCTCAAATCGACATTTATCATTAACACATTATCATTCAATTTTCTACAGCACACATGTCATTTTATTACGTACACCATACACGTACTTTTCTTCCTGCTTTACAATATGACACCTTACTACATCTATTACTATTTGTAACATAAATAAAATTATTTATTTTATGAATAATTTTATATATTTGAAAAAACTTGCGTGTTTTTCCAAGATAATTGATCCAATTAAATCACCAATATTATTAATTTATAATTATTGTTTGTATTCTCACATTCTCAATGCGATTTGATTAATCGCAAAATGACAATCGTATTATAAATACGTCAATGTTTGAACACATTCATGTATGCATGAATACAGATATATGTCATTATGTGTGGAGGCATATATTCGGGACGCGTGTTTTCTGTGTATAAAACGCTTGCGTCGAAGCACAATCGCATCTACTTTTTATAAACAATTAACCATTTTAATAACTTTATCATAAACAAATTCAAAAGATAAGTTTGGAGCCAATCGTAAGAACTATATGCATTTATTATACAGCAGTATTATAATTATGGACAGTTTGATAAATCAGTGATTTTTTAAAAGAAAAAATTCTCGAAAAAAATCTCGTAATTTCCACAAAATTGTTCTCTAAATTTTTTCGAATGAAATTTTCACTCTAATCCTGGAGTCACTGATCAGTTCACTCTACGAGAAGGAAATATTTACTTTAATTGAATAAATTCTTTCACTAAGACAAAAAGTAAAAAGTTTTCATTTTTATGTAAAAAATTTTTAATGCTCTAAACTTTATTACAACTTAAAGTACAAAAATCTCGCCAAATCACGCCAAAGAACGCCTTCTCAGTTCTTGTTCTCGTACAAATGCCGTTTATAATTACCAATTATTAACTGTGTCTAATTGTTTTGAGTGTATGAACAACATCAAATGTTTGACAAACTTGAGAATCTAATAGAGAATAAGCTTGTTTATATCTTTGTACATACATAAAATAGAAATCAAAAGGTTACGAACAAAGGTTAAGGTTTTTTGTACAGGTTCTTTAGGATAATGAAAGAAATTAATTTCTATTGAAAACGTTAATAAAATGTAATAAATTGAAATTCATGTCTTCAATCTTCAATATGTTTGTACTCCTGTACAGATAAAGTATTTAGAGATTTCAAGATTTAGTCAAAAAATGCCTGCGACTTTATGATTACATAAGTTACAAAACATTCTCTCTCCGAGAAAAGTCACTCTTTTTAGAGTTGAAGAATAAATCCAAATGAAGAGTGAACAATTTCATTCTTTTAAAAAGTGAAATTTCGCTCCACTTTGATTGACGGTATTTTCATAAATATTTGAAATAAATATTTGAAATGAGATTTCACTCCAAGAAATTTAGAGAGTACGTCGTCAAAAATTTCTTCCATACCAATTAGAAACAGAGAACAGAAGTAACTGATCATTATTTGTAACGAAATTATAGTTATAAGTTACTTTTTTGGTAACTTTACTTTATATAAATACTTTTTTCTTTGGTAATTGGTCTAACGGTAACGAAGTTACATTTTTTGGTAATGAATTTTACAGTTACTTTTTTATCATTATTTTGCACACGATTGGACACAAATCCCTCATAACACTTGAAACTAATAGAAAAACCCTAGACCTGTTCGCTGCAATTATGGTTAGCGATTTTTAAAAAATAACGGAAAAGTAACGAAAAGTTACTTTCTCAAATAATGGTAAGCGCGCGCGCGCGCGTGTGTGTGTGTGTGTATGTGCATATACAAAAGTTAAAAGCCTACGATATTTTCTCTCAACATTACGGACTGATTATATTTATCAACATTCCAATATCAATAATTGTAAGAGCATTAGCAAAATTATACGACATTATTATATTAATTAATTATTACATTAATTATTACATTAAATTCTAGATGAAATCAAATGCCAAGTTTCTCTGTCAAAGTCAATGATAGCATTTTAATGGCATTTTCTTCGCGTGAAAAGGGTATAGCGGTTTTTGTGTAAATGGATCCGAACGCATCGCAAAAAACTGGGAATCTTTCATAATATCTTGATGACTTTTCGAATCAACCAGAAAGGCGATTACATCTCGCCACCATCGACGGGCATCTCGTTTTCGTGTTTCACGTATTTGCATCGATAATGACTTTTCATCTCGAACGATGTGTCGGTTATGACGAGGACATGGTTGACGTTTATTTGTAGCTCGCAGCATCCAAGCATGAGTAGGCGCTGCTACGCGATTTATTTCAACCTATGCATTCGAAAATATAAATTATAAAGATCGTAGTTACTTGAAATGAGTCAACGTATCCCGATGATGTAATTAATAACTGCATTTAAGAAAAGCAACTTTGCAACTTTTGTAATATGTTCTTTAATATGACTGATTTTGCTTTTAGTTATATATCTTAATTCAATTGATATAAATCAACTGATCACAACCGAATTAAATAATTATGTCTTTATCTCATATATATGCATCAATATATGCGTCATCGTCTTTTTATATTAGATAGACAAGCTGGTATCTAATAAGTACCTATTGTTAGTATATATTTGAGTTAGTACATACTTTGATACGCTTGAAACCTCTGCGACTGATTTGTAACGTTTGACGTGTCGTCGATGGAATTTCAGCTTTTTGCTTCGAATTTCGTTGTTTATCAGGATCACCAAACAATCCTTTTGATTCTGCCACTTTGATCATGAAAAGCGAATCAAACTGCATCATTTCCTTTCGTTTTATTACAGCGATGAAACAGCCCGGATCCAATATATGTTCGTTCGTTTCGCCATAAATTTCATCGATAGTTCCCACTTCGAACAAATCGCTATCGGGGATCTAATGATATATTTAATTTTATAATTAAGTATTGATCGATAATTATTAAATGACAATTTGACGCGCGTATATTATACTTATGAACGATCTTACAACAATATCAGTCATATCCAACAACTTTTCATCTTCCTCGTCCTCTCGCTTGCACAAAAACATTTGTTCATGTTGCGTTTGCGATTGGTCCTCCCAATGTTCTCGCGATTGTTCCTGCTTATGTACATCAGTTTTAATCGACTTTGAAATCTTTCCGTCTTTGGATAGTGTCTTTCTTTTTGGCTGTAAGGCAACAAAATATATACTATTTTTAGAAATTAAGTGAATACGTGTGTGAAAAAATATGTAACATATTTAAAAATACTTTTGGGACAAATCATTGCCAACTTCAATATAATGACGCATATATATATAATTGTAATATTATATATATAATTGTAATATTATATAATCATAATAAATTATAACGCGGTTAAGATGGACATTTTTAATAGCTTTGAAATTTAAAACTCATATATGTCATCCACTAATAGAGGATCAGTGTGTCATCTTTATTAAAATTGTTGTATCCTTGAGGATAATTTAAAATAAGTCGAAACATTTGATGTTTAAGGGTACCTTAAACGTTGAATATTTGATGTAATATATAAGAAGAATTATGTATTGATTAGATATAAATTAAACATTAAAATTGTATATGCTGACAATAACTGTAGTGGCTTTTCTTTATTACTAATTTCATTTTAAATATTACTGAGAGCCTGAAATTATTTCTTTTTGTTTTATAATCATAAATAATTAACGACGTTTTCCTGTTTATAATAAATAATTCAATTATGCAAATGCAATTAATAATTGCATGTGCAATCGATTTAGATATAAGTATATCCTATAAAAAGTCCACTTACAAGATGCTCACGAATGTATTTTTCCATGGCTAATTGATTGGCATATTCGACAACTTGATGAATCATTTCCGTAGTTTCGGATGGCAAAATCGTATGCACCTCGTATATTAGAAACTGTGTATTTGGTCTAGTTAGTGCATATTTGAGCGTGGAGAATTGTTCGGCCAGAAGAGCGCGGGGCTGTTTGATCCCATCCGCTGTATCACTGGTTAACGATTCTAATAAATTAATATCACCACCGCGAGCAACGGCAAAATCAACAATGTCTCGGACGCCAGTATAGCTACACGGGGGAGTCGCCAAAACAACAGTCGCTCTTTCCAATTCTATGGATGATGGTGATGAAATGTATCTAAAGATAAAGAATCGTAATGTTTTTTAAGTAATAGTGACAAATTCAAAAGAGCCATTATATCTTACTTTTCTGAAAACATTGAGCATTGTTGCAAAGTGACGCCTAAATTCGTGAGATACGCTTCGTACTCGCAACGACGATCTCCAACACCGAAAGCTAATAGTCTCCCGGCATCCTCGATGTCGGTCAAGAGTCCGGCCAAGTAACCCGTATGACGAGGAGCGATCGAATGCGTGAGAACTACGGGACCACAAAGACGAGCAACACGTATCGCCTGTGCTAACGTAGCTGCTCCGAGACACAATGATCTTTCCTAAATAAATGTCTTTTATTATTAATTTTTCAATTTTCCATCTTTGTTTATAGATATTCACTCTTATACTTTTATATGTATAAATTCTTCTTTTCCCTTAAAAAAATTTCGCTGAAATTATTCCACGTTTTGGAACATTTCAGCGAAATTGTTGAAAATTTTCTAAAATTTCACTGAATTTCAGTGAATTTTTCAGCTAATACTGAGAAATTCTTGAAATTGAACTGAAATTATTCTGAAATTTTTCTGAAATTTTGTTGAAATTTTTGCTGAAATTTTATTAAAAATGAATTTTTCGGCTAAAAATCGCTGAAATCAAACTGAAATTTTTCTGAAATGCTGAAATTTTGCTAAAGTATTCCAAAACGTGGAATAATTTCAGCGAAATTTTTCCATCGTAACAATCATAATACCTACACTGATGTGTAACTGTCTTTTTCACGTAGTTATTTCAGTAAATAAGAATTATATTT